ATATTTTACGATGGTGGAAATTAAATGAGCGGTCATACCCTATATTATCTAAAATGACACGAGATATACTAACAGTTCCAATCTCAATAGTGGCACCCGAGTCTGCTTTTAGTGCAGGTAACAGGGTATTGGACGAACGAAGATCTAGACTTAAAGAAAATATTTTGGAAGTTCTCATATGCGTAAAAGATTGGATATTCGCGGATCGAATGATGTAAGATAAAACTAATGATGATGTTGAAAACTTCAAAAATCTTACAGTTCATAAAGATTGATTGAGAAACAAATATATAATTTTTCAACAACTAAATTATAGTTAATTGTTAAGACTTAAGTATGTAACAAGCTAGTTGGGATATACTTAAATTATAAATTATAGTAAAAGTAAGTGCCAACCTAGTTGTGATGTACTTTACTATAAATATATACCGTCACGTAATTAGAAATGCATTTAATTGTTAAATTTCAATTATTAAATTTGAATTCTATGTAAACATTTCTTGATATAAATATGAATTTATTATTTTGTTCAATTCTTAATTTATATTTAACAAAAAAAATATTTTTTGCTATAAATATGAAAAATTTTATATTTTTATAATTTTATTTATACAATAATACGGGCCAAATCGGAACAAACCGGGACCCTCGTGACGCGTGACCCGCGACCTGCGACCCGCATGGGCTAGACCCAGATGAGTGAGCGGACGGGCCTGAATTGTAGTACAAAATTTGTGGGCCGACCCGGAACCCGTAGAGGACAGACTTTTTTTCACGTGGGCCGTTACTGGGCTCATATGTTGGCGGGCCGACCCGACCCGGACTACCCGGACTGACACCTCTAGTTGGAAGCCGGGGGTATAAAATTTTGGCGTGTTTGTTATGCTCGAGTGTCGACAAGACACTACGATATTATGACGTGTTAAAATCTCGTTTGCTTTCTTGCTCTATATTAGGTCACAACATACAATGTGGGATGCAGGAGAAGTTGCATTTACTTCATTATCGAGTGAATAGTAGGTGGATTTTTTACCTGGTTGCATTTCAGCAGTTTCTGGAATTGAAGCCCTTGTTTGAGTCCCATTTTTTAGAATAGATTTTGTAAAATGTCATTTTTTTAGATAATGTGTAAAAAGTAGGACAAAGTTGAGTTTTCGTGTAAAATATTATATGCAAAGTTAGTTAACCACAACAGATACAAATGACCAGTACAGAGGGTTGTCCGTGGGTCGGTTCGGGTCTCTTCAGAATCGAACCGAACCGACCCAAAACTTTTGGGTATTTAATAAATGGAACCGTCGGGTCCAAATATAATTATGGAACCATTCGGGTTCGGTTCCATTCAGGTCGGTTCGGTTCCGTTCGGTTCCGTACCATAATTAAATTTTTTAATATTTGCAGTAATACTAGATAAATACAACTAATGACATTTCATTCGTAACTTTTACAAATTAACATAGCACAATTCAAAAATATATAAATAAATAACTGTCCAATAAAATTAATTAAATGCATACAAATACCAAAANATCAATTGCTTGACTTGTCATGGTAAGAATGATTTGGGCTAATGGACTTTAAAATTAAAATTAGGAAATTATCTAATTTATTTAATTAATTTGTTAATTTTTTTAGAAAAATAAAATAATTTAATTAATTCAATATAAAAAATAAAAAAATTATTTAGTTTCGGTTCTTGGTCTAGACCCGACTCAAACCCATCGGTTCTCGATTCGGGTACCCGTTCGGGTATTTAATTTATGAAGAACCGCTCAGTTCGGTTCGGGATCGGTTCCCGGTTCGGTTCGGGACTTTTGGACACCCTACAGTACATCAACTTCAGATTAGGCCCGTTTGGTTTAGTTAAATTCTAGATTTCAGTGGATTTTAATAATAATAAATGATAAAATAATAATTGAAAAGTTGATAAAAATTGTGCGTTTCTTAAAATATGTGATTGAAAATGAGTTTTAGACAAATGGAAGCCAAACAATGACTTATTATGGCTCGTAGATTATTAGCGCAATTATTTTATCCTTAATCACGTCTATCGTAGCATGATGCTTCCATTGTATACACCAAACTTGGACCGTCGTTGGTGAAAATGAGAATGAGGTATCGGTTATCTAGAACATCTCCAAAGTCGTTAAGACGAAGTGACACAAGACACGCAACTCACCGTTTTGAAATCGATACCGAACAAAATAAGAGTCAATTGTCCCATTTTTCATGCACGAGGGGAAGACATTATTAGCACAAGAGTACATTATGACATTAAAGCCAACTTATCATTTTCAAACCAAGTATAGTTTTCCTCTTTTTCATTTTTCTTTGTTGTTTTCTTCTTGTTTATCCACTTTTATCTTATACGAGCTCGTGGACATAACTACTGTCTCTTTTTTTCCAACTAAAATCTCTGATAACATGCGTGACATGTTATTTATTCGCACACCACTTGACAGAATTAGTGTTTGAGGACCCACTTGCTACCAAAATTAAAACGAAACTCAACTACACATTTAGCCCCTGTTTTTTGTGGATTAAGCCCCTGTTTGTTTCCTTTATTAAGCAGAATTTTTACTGTTGCTACAGTTGGTGAGCCGCAATAGTGTGCTCCACTTTTTTGAAAAAAAAGGTCAAAAAATGCATTTTCTTGTTGAAATAATGTGAAACAAACGAGGCTAAAATCAGATTTTTAGTAGATTTTGATCAAAATTGATGGAATGCTTGTTGGAAAAGTTGTGGATCCCATGAACCGAATGGTTAAAATTAGAGCTTGTTTGTGAGGAATTAAAATTGAAAATATAGCCGTTATTGGGTTCCACTCGTCTAATAAAAGTCAACTCCAACGACTAGTTTTTCAATTTTAATATGATTTTAATCCCTCACAAACAAGCTCTAATTATTGACTTTGATTTGAGATTAAAATCAGATTTTAATTTGTACCAAACAGGGCCTTAATAATAAGTTAAAAATATAGAAAAGGAATTAACCTACTTTCTTTACTCTCAATTGGGATGTAAGAAATTCACTTTATTTTCATTGGACAAAAATCAAAATAATTAAATAAGTACTTATTCCGCACATAGATCATCCAACCCCAACCACAAGATTGTGCACATCCAGTTGTTTTCTATTGAGTAGAAAGTTGAAACTATTTTGTAATCTTGCAAGATTTGAACAGCAGTATTATATTTCACCATGGTCCCCAAAGGACCAAATTGAAAATTATTTTATATCAGAATCCCAAATTGAAAATATTTTCTCTCTCCCTTCTAGTCCTAGGTTTTCTATTTTATTAAAATTAAATAAAACACATTTTCTATAATCCTTTACACGTTCCGAAATGCTATTGGACATAGATAAAAAAATGTTATCCAGTGAATTTTTTAATCTTTTGGGAAATCCCAAATTTTTTTTTTTTAATATAATAGTAATTTACAGCTTGCAAATTACTAATAATAATTTTTGATACAACCACCGCGTTAGGGTTAAAGAATGGGGAGTGGAGATCCAACATTCTCTCTCTCTCTCTCTCTCTCTCTCTCTCTCTCTCATAATATATATATATTGGAAAATTAGGTAAATCACTTTTAGAATTTTAACTTGTCGTGCTTATAATACAAAGAAACTATTAGAGTAATCGAGGTTATATCACGATTTCGATTTCAACTAGGTTATTAAGCTTCATTATGTCACAATCGAGTCATTGGACTAAAATTTTGTTTCATCAAGATACATCCGTCGAATGTCATTCTTTAATACACTCATTAGACTGGATAATTTGACGCTGTAGCTACAATAGTATACATGTCAACACGCACGACACCTTTGATGTGTTCGCCAAAGTGAAAAAGAAGTTTATTGTAGACGAACATGACTATAGCAAACTGCCTACGATCAGAAGAAGACGACTTTTTCTCTCACAACTCCTTGCACAAAATATGTGCGTATGATTTTTCTTTAGTTTATCTCTCTACATTTTTTTAATCGAGTCTCTCATAATATGGATGCACGTTACTACCTGCTTGAATTCACATCACCTTGTTGCGAAACACAATTCTTCTGAATACAATACCATGAATTTATAGAAAAGACTTTTGAACTCCTTTGGTAAGTTTTCTTCTACTATTCAAATATTATTTCTTTGCTAATTTAGCGCATGTTTGATCCCCATTTTTTCCTGTCAAAATACATTATTAAACAGTGATTTGACCACAATGCATTCACATATTTTTCAATAAAATAATATTACATACAAACTCAAAAATTTTCCTTATTTTTTAACCACACATTCTGCATCATAACACTTACAAAATGAATTTTTTTTTTTTTGAAAAAAATGGGTCTCAACCACCCCCTTAATTGTCTTTTGATCTTTATGCAATGAATTTGGACCAATCTTTTGTCACATGATGGCTACCAAAACAATGAATTTAGAGTTAAACCCCTTGTACAGGGGAGATTGTCGAGAAGAATGCTAGGAAAACAGGCGGCGTCTATTTCTTGATCAAAGTTCAATGCATACATGCTACCATGTTCCCCTGCAATGCAGTCCGACAATTCTCCTTGTACATGTAGTAGGGTCGATGAATCTAAAGCTTAAATCAAGTCTCAAAAGATACAAATCAATCAAGTCATAAAGTTACAAAGACAAGCTTGAATATATAAATGTATTTAATTGAATAGTTAAAGTTTTTTTTTTTCCTCCGGTGGGAAAGGTAATAGTTTTAGTCTTTCAACGGCGCAAGCATACAAAATAATGTTATGCATTCAAGTCTTATCATCACTTATTTATCTTGAAAATAAAAATAACATGAATAAAATAAGCGTATAATACTTATATGTCGCACGAAACGTGAATAAAATGTAGGTTTGAACGATGATAAACATTGACAAACAAAGGTTAGTCAATCGAATCTATCATTAATGGAAAAAATATATTTACTGCCTAAACCATAATAGAGACGTTTCTTGGAATGTATTCAGTCAAAATAAATGTGTGAAAAGATTCTTCTTTCACATCGAAACTCCTTTATATAGAAAGATTAATAATTACATTTTAAAGAAATGCCTTATATATATAATTATTGAATAGGAAAATAATCAGGATTCAGGGGTGTTTAAGCCCTATTATTTTTTAAGAATGTATTTTGAAATAATAGATTGATGGAGAAAGCGTTGTTAAAAAATAAGGAAAATTCTTTTAATTACGTGTCATATTATTTTAATAAAAGGTGTGTAATTGAAATAAATAGGAAAAAAAAATATTTTGAAAAAGAAAATTGCTATGCTGTTAGGGACGGTGGGTTTGACACCTTCCGACAGCCCCCTCACAATAAGGGAAGAATTTTTTGTCCTTTTTAATTCATATGGGCTTCGCTAATTTATATGGGTTCCGCGTGGGTCTCACCACATGTGAGTGAACGTCAAAAAGCATGTAAAAATTTTCCTCGCAAACTTGTTTAATTCCAAAGGAATCAAACATCCCCTCCCTCAAGTAAACTTTTTTGAAAAATGGAAATTTATTCTAATTTTGTAAAGGTATTTGTCAATTTATTTTACTATTTTTGTTCCAAGAACTGTTCTCCAACTGTCAACGATCTATACGTTCAGACAACAATATCAAAATTCCAAACCACTTTTACAAAACCCTCTGTCCAATGAGAGCGGTTTCTGAGACTCCGAGGTACCCATTATCTCTACTCTCTCGAGTACACAATTATAGTACTCGCTCTGTCCGTGACATTAGGAGATTGAAACTGCGTATTTTAGCAAAGTCAATGCTAATGTTTGCTTTGGTATGACAGTTGGGCAAATTTCGTGGCGAGTAGGGTTTTCGCACAAGAAAACCGCTAAACCGCTCCATGTTTTGAAAACCGCTTCGTGCTTTCCACATAAAGCTAAGAATTGCTTCAAACACACTTCCAGCTCCAAAAAGATATCCCAAAAATTCTCTCTCACGCACACAAACACGCACTAGTCTTCAATCAAAGCTCAAATTAGTAAGATCTTTTGTCTCTCTCTCTCTCTCTCGAATCTGTCTTTTTTGTCAATTTCTGAGAGTGGGATTTGATTAAATCCCTCTATTTTGATTACTGTCTTCGATCTATTCGTACAGCAGATCAAGAAAAAATGGGAAGAGGGAAGATTGTGATCCGCAGGATCGACAATTCCTCGAGTAGGCAAGTCACTTTCTCGAAGAGAAGAAATGGGTTGCTGAAGAAGGCTAAGGAGCTTGCAATTCTTTGTGATGCACAAGTTGGATTGATTATTTTCTCCAGCACTGGAAAGCTCTATGATTTTGCAAGCACCAGGTAATTACTCTTTATTTTCTTGCAAATTTCTTAATTATAATTAATCTCTATTAATTTTGTGCAAATAAGTTACTATATTAGAATGCTTATCTTCCTTAACTTGATTTTTTCTCTTTGATTTTATGTGGTAGATAAGGATTTTTTTATGTAGGAAAAATAATTTAAGATCCAAACTTTTCTGTAAAAATTACAAAGAAATAATCCATCCATCCACCCATGCATGCATGTGTGTATGTGTCCATGTTTTCTTAATTATTTCGATTCAAGAAAATATGTAGCCGATCTTATTAATTATCTTCATTTTTTAGTCCAACCATAAATTATTCTAATCGATTCGAAGTTCATAGTACAGTGGTCCAAAAGTTTCTGAGCAAAAGATATTGGGATGCTTGGAAATATAAGTTTTTTTCTTTCAATGTTATGCTTTCTGTGGTTTCTTTAGTATATATCAGTGTTCATGCTCGTGCTCGTCATAGAATCTAGTGACAATGAAGTGGTCCTTCAGATAATTAGTTCAGTACTGATAGAAAAAGAATTCTGAAAGAGCATATGATATATTAATGAAGTACACAAACTCACTTTTCTTTAATATATCTTTTGACTAAGTTTTGCAGCATTCATCAATATCTACTGGAAAACGTATTATCCTTAAGCATATTGAATTGATACTCATGAAAGTTAATCATGGAACCCATTTTAATCAGTAATTGCAATTCCAAATAATAAATTTAAAAAGAAATAAATTTTGAATTCGAATTCGACTTACAAGTTGTTAAAACTTTGTCGACTACAATCTAGAAGCATAAGTTCACGTTGAACCGAATGTGGGTTTTGATTCATCAAAACTGTATTGGAATGACATTTAATGTGACGACAAGTTCGGGATAAATGTGTTGATATAGCAAATAAAGCGTTCGTCGAAACTGGAGCTTAGGCGTAACAAGACTTTTGCTTCTCTTTGTACCGTTGCACAACAAGCTTCACAAACGTCGTTTCTTCCATATTCTTTCGAACAATTTCTTTCAATTATTTGATTTTCGATGAGTTTCAAGTTTTCAAGTGTGTATTTGTGTTCTTTAATTTGTTGCAATGCAAGGTCCTTTTTTCCCCACCTTATGATTTAAATTCTAAGTTCGAATTTTTCTTTGTAGGGAATCGGGAGTTTATCCCATAAAGTTGACTCATTAAGTGAAGTAGTTCAATTATTTATAAACCCAATATTTACCCACATGTCTAAGTTAAGATGAGATTTTGTTCGCATTTTTCGTACAGTGCTCCCTCTAATGAAGCAACAAACCATCTTGGCCCCTCTTCAAGTGATAGTCTGAGATCTCTCTTCATCAAACTAGGAAGGAATACACAATCTATTGAGACCAAATTCTTCCACACCGCCTTGCTAGGGTACAATGGCTTTTGAGGAATCTATCTCGTGCGTCCATATGGCTAAGTTTGGGGCCTAGATCTCATACTAGTAGTGAATTAGGATCCAATCTGACGAAGTAAGTAATCAAATCCCTTATAAGCCCATCATTTACGCCATGTCTAGTCGACATAGAAATTAATTTGTCTGCACTTTCTCTAGAATGTACATGGTATTTCATATCTCCAGCTTCCTCAAAAGATGAATCCTTGTGATACCTAAAACTTTCACTTTCAGCTCCCTTTTTCTCAAGCTTAACTTCATGAATTTACAAACTTACCTTTAGCAACCCCAATTTTTCTAGTTTCCTCGTTAACTTTCAGTTTTGCTTCAATTAGTAACTCGTTCTCTTTAAGCATGTAATTGACTTCTTTACTGCGCCAGCCACTCACTTGAGAGTAGTATGATTTGCAGAGTTTCTTCCGAGCTTGCTCCTTGGGTGGCTCGCACCCTGGGTGGTGCGGCTAAGCCAGAGAGGGCTCAGAAGTTTGCCTATGTTTTCGGGCTCACGCGTGAAAGCACGTCTCCTCTCATTTTCTAAGCAAATTTCGTGGGCAAGATTTAGTTTGCTTGCCTCCCATTTCAAGTGATCAAATTTCATTTTCTTCTCTCCTTGAACGACTCCTTCCATGCTTGTTTTGCTAACATAGCTTTTGAAATTGTTTCGTAAAATCTTCATTTATTGCTCAATAAGAAATAAAGAAAATGCCCATGTACTTGCGGTATCAGTTCTTCAATTTTATTCTTGTATATGTTAGATATTTATACATATAATAAATATAATATGTGAAAGAAATAATTAATTCTCATGAAGTGCCCAATTGGTGAAAAGTGTGGAATTTAGGACTCAACATGGTCCGGTCCTCTTTGGAATCGAACCGAACTAAAATTTTCAAGTATTTAATAAATGGAACCGTCGGAACCAAATATAATTATGGAATCGTTCGGTTCAATTCATTTCGATTCCGTACCATCATTAAATTTTTTAACAGATTTTTAATGGTCAACAATTAGTGGTCGTGGTTGGAGGTTGCGGCTTTGATGGGCATTGGAGAGGGGAAGTCGAACTCGGTAGTCGACGATTTCGATTTAAGCATGTAGATATATGTTTTTAATTTATTAAATGATTTAGGGTCATTGATTCAGTGGTTACCGAATGAAAATGTGAAATTGGAAAAAGTGATAAAAACTTAAAAAAGTTTAGATTTTGGGCTAAAAATGAAATTAATAATATGATCAAAAAATTGAATTTAGAAATTGGGTTGGACTGAGCTAGCTAGGCATTGACTTGACTTGGGAATGTTTACATTAAGAGGAAATTACACCTAGTCCTAAATTTAAAGTACCAATTTCATAAATCCTGAATCAAGTTCCATATTACAAAAATCAGGTTTTAATTAATAATTTCAAAATATTTTTTTATATCTAATTAAATACTAATTAATAATTTTTATTCCAATTAATAATTTCATCATAAAATCAAAACCTAATTTCATTTTTTTTCCTCGCCGTTGCCGTTGCCATCTCCTCTCCTCTTATCCCCTCCCATCTCCATCTTCTCTCCTCCCGTCCATCTTCGTCGTCGCTCCTCCCTCATAGGCGACGACAGTGCTTGTAACTCATGCCGGCTTCTCTCTTCTCAATTCTGTGATGCTGAAACGCCCAATCGTCTCTACCTCACCGTTATTCTCTCTCTCACACTTCGCTCTTCGATCCGGTGAAATAGCAGGCGTAGTCGCTCCCGTGACGGTGCCCTTATGTCCTCTAGCTTGTGGAGGGCGGTTGGGTGTGTGTGAGTGCGTGTGGAGGCAGATCCGGTGGGTGTGTTCTGGGTGCGTCGCAACTGGTGTGTGTGGACGCGAACGGGTGCATTGTACGTGCGTGCAGCAGTTGGGTGTGGTCTTGGTTTGTATGAGATGTTGATGCCGCTATTGGGCGGCGATGGTGGTGGTGCTACTGGTGGAAGCAGTGGCGATGTGGTGGTGCGATGTGGGCGGGGGGTGAATCTGAGTGTGTGGTGTGGTGCGTGATGTGCAGTGGTGGATATGTGCGGTATGGTGGTGGTGATCACAAGTGATTTGGATGATTGTAACCAATAATTGGGTCGGTGTGTGACCAATGAAATAGATAAACTGCAACCAATGCATGCTGTGTGACCTAAAAATTATTAATGTCGACGGTTTGGTGTAGTGGTGGTGGTGAAAATGTTGGCTGCGATGTTTGAAACTGTGATTTTGTTGTTAGGAAGTGGTGGTGATGGTGATGGTGATGGGTGTTGGCGGCGGTTGTGCGTTTATGTGGTGTTGTCTTGGCGACGATGGTGCGATTCTGTGGTGTTGTGTTGGTGGTGGTGATCACAAGTGATATGTTGATTGTGACAAATGAATTGGTTGGTGTGTGACCAATGAAGAATAAATTGTGATCAATAAATATTGTGTGACCTATAAATTTATTAGTTTGTGACCAATAAAAGTAATTTGTGATCTATAATTTGATATTTTGTGATCATAAAATAAGTTGTGTGACTTATAAATTTCGTGATTTGTACTCAATAAGCTAATTGTGACTTTTAAATTTTTAATTTGTGACCGATGAACGAACCATGACCTATAAAATTTTTGAATTGTAACCTTAAATTGTTTGAATTATGACCAAATTACATAGATCACCTTTATATATTTTATTAATTAAATATATAATTAATTAATTAAATTATAAATAAATTTTATTGAAAATCTGATTTTTGAAATTTAAAATCTCAAATCTTAATTTTGAAATTTAAAATCTCAAATCTTAATTTTGAAATGGTGATACTTAAATACCTTATTTATGTGTTGTTCCCCTACATTAATTACTAAATTAGTTAATTTGTTTAGAAAAAATAAAAAAAATTAATTAATTCAATATAAAAAATTTTAAAAATTATCTGAATTCGTTTCTTATTCGATTCTTCGATTTTTGGTCTAGAATCGAGAATCGAACCGAACATGTCGGTTCTCGATTCAGATATTCATTCGAGAATTTAGCTTATGAAAAATCGTTCGGTTCGGTTCGGTTCTGGTTCTGTTTGGGAGTTTTGTCTAGCCTTAGTGAAATTTGTGTAGGAGGTCAGGGGTTCGAATCACACCTTATACATTATATTAAAAGGTTTTTTATTGGGGCCTTGGGCTTTCTTAATTCTAATAATAATTATTATTTTTTAATCATTTTTGAAATTATTTAATGGATCAACTAGTAAGTAAAATATGATCGTTTTTAACTGTCCAGTATCAACAATCCATTACCACTAGCAATAAAAATTGCAAATTATATTGAATCATTGTGGAGGCAATTACATCATTTTTCTACTTATATAAATACACATCTGAACATTAGAAAATTATTAACAAATACGAAATTGTATCTTCACATTCAGTAAAATATTATACTCAATTTTATATATTTTCTGGAGCACACTTGATAGTTCTTAAAAATATTTGTGATTGCCGCACAATTGGTTTATTTGATCGTTCTATCCTGGAGGTGCTTGTCCACAAAGATCGCAGTAGTTATGCGAGTGCTTCAAAAGAAGAAGAAACAACCACGTCGACGAGAACTCACTCTTGAAATCGACTTGTAAAAAATTGATGTTCAAAGTGCTTATGACGCCACAAGGCAAGCATTCCCCGAGCCAAAATGATATGATATAAAGTTATTTTACTACCCTCCTCTTCAGAAGCAACATCTATGACAAGCCATTCCGAGCTAGATTCTAAGAAGGGATGTTTGTTCCAATATTAATTGTAACGACCACTTTGGGTAAAACCACTCCTCAAACAGACTTGTAAAGAGACGATGAGATAGAATGCAATTAGAGTCGTTAAAGCAACTCAAATGAGAGTAATATCACTTGTAGAGTTTATTCTCAACTCCTTTTTTTTTCGAATTATTTTCTGAAAATCTGTTGCTAATCTTGTCTTATCAGCATGAAATCTTTGATTGAAAGATACAATAAAGCAAAAGAGGAGCATTACCAACTGCTGAATCCTACTTCAGAGATCAAGGTACTTAATTTCAGTGGCATGTAATTCTTCTTTTTAATTAGTTTTCTTTTATGATTGTTCTGTCAAGAACACCAGTAATATTTTTTATTATTCGATTGGTCAAAAATTTATCTGTTTGCTTTGCTATGTGCCTTTTGCTATTCAAAGTGAACAGCCCTCCTGTGAATTATTAAGTATTTACTTATTTTTCAACTTCATAATTCACTTTCAAACTAAATAAATTAAATATTACAAAGTAAGAGTAAAGCATAGCAATCCATATGAACTTTGTTCTTTGCATCGTTTCTTCCACTAGAGGATTAAATTCAAGGGTTCGATTTGAATTCTTTCAATGTCAACTTCCTCTAATGATCTTACTAATTTGAAAGAACACTAAAAAATAATAATAATAATAAATAAATAAAAAATTACCCTTTTTCCTGCAAAAATAAGTCCGATAATTTCTGCTTTTGACTCTCTGATGTTCAAGTTAGTACACGACTCTAATCCAAAAGGTAAAAAGAATAATTTTTATCCTAGTTGAACGACTAGTATAATGACAAAAATCGTCTAAGCAGATAGAGTAAATTAAAATCTCGAGTCAAAATCAAAAATTAATTATAACCACATATTTTGTAAACCCACAACTTTTTAAAAACACATTTAATCAATTTTTATCAAAATATACTAAAAAATTGGTTTTAATCCATATCAAACAAGGGTTAAATGTTTACGAAAATAGCATACAAGGCGTTAAGCACTATTTTGAAGGGAAGGGTGGTAAACACAAATAATTTCATAAAAAATAAATAAAAGAAATAGGAGAGACAAAAAAAATAAGATAAAGAAGAATGAAAAATGTTGTGTAGATACACAACTTTGGAATATACAATTTATGGTCCCAAGTCTAAGGGTCCATTTGACAATGTCGTTGGAAAAATTACAACAATGGAGAAACAAGGATGAATATGGAATCATCTAAGAAATGAACTAAATGGCAAGACTTGAACACATTTTAAAAACGTAGTCTTCAAACGATATTTGCCCCTCTCCAAATGCTTTTAAGGGTTTTCGACAAATAATTCGAAAGATTAATCAAGTCCTTCAAAGAAAACACCAAAGCACTAGTGTTCTTCCCATATGAACAAAATTGAAAACTGATGTTTGACTATGTAAAGGAAATTGCAATAATTTTTCAAAGATTGGATGAATTGAATTATGATTTCTTGTTCTTAGGGATGAATAATTGTCTCTATTTATAGTTTTCAATCATCCCACCACGAAATGATTCCAACCTTCCATGAAAAGGTGAAGCTTTTCAACCTGGCCACTAGATTTCAAATCCGAAAATCAGCCTAACGGCTATTTTCAATGCCCATGCGACTGCTTGGGTTATTTTCATGTAGTCACATGGTGCAACCACTTTTGATCTCGAGTAAATTTAAGAGCTTTATGCGACTGCAAGCTCCATTTGCCAATGCAACCGCATAGGCAAAATGCAATTCCCCTAAGTTTTGATTTTACAAATGCAAATTTTTTATTTTAGAATTCATTCCAATTCATCCACACACTTCGTCCATTTAAGTCCCAACTCCAAACATGATTTTAAACAAAAATATAAGAGGAACTTCTTGAAGAGCCAAAAGCTATATTTGAACTTATTTAGATAATTTACCCGAAGTTCTTTGTTTGAGGAATTGACTTAAAGTAACTTCCCTAGGAAACTCATGCTGCATTGACCCGACCTCATGTCCAAATCGTTAACCTACGTACTGCATATTTTAAGAAAACTTAAACACATCTTACCTCTCATGAATTTTCATCTGCCCCCTCCTCTTCTGAGCCCGTGCTGGATCATTACACTTACAAAAGTGCAATGTCGATGACAACTCTTATTGGTTCTATGTTCCTTTGACACGTTGTATACGGCTACTCAGCCATGTACTCAGGTACCGAGTACAAACTAACTTATTGCTATAATAAGAATTTGAAGAGGGACTTTTTTCACCTTTTTTCTTCCTTTTTCTTTTCTTTATATTTATTTTATAAGAATATGCTATTTTTTAGAGGAATTGACTTAAAAGTAATTTCCCTAGAAAACTCATACTATATTGACCCGACCCCATGTCCAAATCATTAACTTCCGTACTGCCCATTTTAAGAGAACTTCAACACATCTTACCTCTCATGAATTTTCATATGCTCCCTCCTCTGAGCCCGTGCTGGATCATTACACTTTCAAAGTGCAATGTCAATGACTGCTCTTATTGGTTCTATTTTTCCTTTGATACGTTGTATACGATTACTCATCCATGTACTCAGGTACACGAGTACAAACTGACTTATTGCTATAATAAGAATTTGAAGATGGACTTTTTTCACCTTTTTTTTTTCCTTTTTTTTTCTTCTTTATATTTAATTGATAAGAATATGGTATTTTTTTAGTTCAATCTTCTACATATACATTTTGACATTACGAATGACATTCTTGTAAGTCGACAAGTTTTTATACATTGATTTTAACAATATTTTAAACAATTAATGTCACAGATTTTGACTAACAATGTCAACAACAATGTCATCTAGTAATGTAAATCTAAATTAATTCTTTTTAGTATAGAAAACGTTCGGACATAGTTTTTTTTCACTAAGACTAGTTACAACTATAATGAAATGTTGAGAACAAAATTGCTTTTTAAAATATGAAAGACTAATTTATGATTTTACCTGTTTCTCCATGTATAAATTTATATACAATGTGAATGGAAAATATAAGCCTCTTTTCGAAAGGCCTAAATGAATAGTAATAGCTGTTTAAGAACAAAAAAGATTCAATGAGAAGCGAGAACATAAATGCTATAAATGACCCAATATCTAATAATGGTAATGATATCAATAAAAGAACATCTTCTTGTACTTGACATGCTCAACTACACATATTTGGATCAATTCTGTAGAAGAGAAGATTAGCACCAGGCAATCACTGAAATTTCAACCTTCTTTTCAATCTTGTACCGATGGCATTTTTAAAGTGGTACAAACTAGTAACTATCCTTCATAGAATTCAAGAGAGTGTTAGGGCAAGACGAGTCGTTTTCACTAAGCTAGGTGTCAAATGGAAGTGCACTGCATATACACAATTGAATCGTCCTAACAGACTAGTGGACTCGAACTTATTCCTCATGACCTCATTATTTTGATAGTAACTCGCATTAATTTTCATTGTCTTACTTGATGACATGAAAAACCATTATTCAAAGAACTCATAACAAGAAGAAAACCAAAAGCTCTACCCTCCCTCGATAAATAAATATGCATATACATCAAATGGGAGGAATAGAGTACTTAAAACTCCACCTTCAAATAAATTTTGTTGGTCGTTAATGTTGTCATAAGAAAATTATAGGAATGTTTTGTGCTTACATGAGCACTCAAGTGTTGTATAGTTAGGAAGTGCTTAAAAACCTTTGAAATTATTAAGAAAAAAAATTTGAAAACTCTATATAACAAAAATACTTCTTCAATAAACTCACATGTAATTTTTTTGCGAGGGCATAACATAGAGAGGCTTACCAAATGACAAGTTGCGTCAACTTTCACTTCGTCCACATTAAATGTGAATTACCTGGTATCTTCTGAAAAAAGGCTGATCATATATCAATTCTCGTGTGGGGATTCTGCAACAATCAAAGCAAAATTTAAGTTTGTCCATTCTTAAATAGTTTAAGACATGATGGTTCAACATGGAAGATAGTGGTTCTTAATATAATCGACTTGGATTTGGGTACCCATCATAATTCATTCATTTATTTACACGCTTGAATACATATTTTAGAGACCATTGCTAACTGTGAAACAGGCATTGTGCCTTAATCTAATGTAGTACGATGATTGAGTTTAACTAAGGTAAAACAATCAATCATATAAAATACAGCTGTCTACTCATCTTCAAGAATTATGCAGGGTTTCATGTTGCTATCATGCCCCCGCAAGCTTGAGCATCTGTCAAGGAGGCTAGTCTTGGAGCTATTAAGATGAATAATTTTCAACATACAAATGCTTATGCTATTAAGGGATAAATCACACATCAGTTAAATATGAATAATTTTTAACATACAAGGGTTTAAACTCCTCCTCTTAACAAGATTGATTGTTTAAGATGGAACCTCAAGTGTTAGCCCTTGTTTGGTAATCATTCTTTCAAAATTCTTCTAATTTTTAACCACATATTCTCACAATAAAATAATCTTCATGAAAACCCAAAGTAGCATAAGAGTTGTGCTCTATAGAGAAAATAATGATAACACGAGTTCTAGACCACAATTCGAGTATGTGCTTTGTAGAGAAGAAACTAAAGGTAGCACCTCCTCATTTACTGCTTTCTTTCCACTTAATGCTTTTTGGAGGCTAGATTTACGTTATCCTTCCTTATCTTCTTGAGAGTTCCATACATTTCGTGGTAGGGGCATCCTAGCCCATCATCCTTCTTTGGTGTAGCTTAAAAGCCCACTGAGGTTGTGATGGTGCTTTGCTTATAAAAAAGTAGTAAAGCCAGCATGAGTTATTGGAATACCATTAACATCTCCAACCATCATATTGAGAATGGATCGGAAATCTTGGAGAATGGATGTCGTTTAGTAAAGAGGACCATGTCAACTACCCAATTACAGTGACTTCCACATGAATTAATATTCATACGATTTGCTTGAGGCTTCTATGGTATAAAGTAAGGCTAACGACAACAGCAACACGCTTTTGCAGTTGTCTTTTTTGTCAAATAATTGACAATTAATTTTGACTCGAGAGTGTCCATGACATCGATTGGAATTCTAAAGTCATTGAGATTGAGCATTGTGTGGATAACCTTGGTTGAAGAAGCTTCGATGGCCATGTCAATTGCAATTGCTAGCTGGGGTTGGACATTATTTCCAAAGTTCAGATGGAATAGTCTGAAATTTCCACTGCCAGATTGTGGTCCTTTGCCCTTGTTAACTGAAGTTCTTTGACAGAGTTGTACAGCAATCACTAATCCGAATTGTAACTTTCTTTGTTGTTTCTCATCGCACCTACAACTCTCCGTTGAGTAAGAGTGACGATCACGAATGGTAGCAACCACTTCCTTGAATAGAACCAGGCCAATTTAAAACATTAATGACAATTTATTTTCCCTTAAAAGAGTGTCTGATTAAAGTCAACACCTTTGATAGCCTGCATATACTCAGCAATTGACTTCCTTCTCAATTTTGGTCAGAGAAAGAAGTCCATGCATAAGAATTCAAGACCAGTTGGCAAACATGGTTTCTAATTTAGCATTTGAATGACTGCGTAGTATTTGATGATCTTGTCGCAGCCATAGCATGTGATCCAGATTAGCAATAGTCGGGTCCTATGAAGCACTGACACGGACACATGTATCCGACACGACACGTGTCGGACACACCAACACGTGATTTTTTTAAAAAGTACTGACACGACACGTCGTCGATACGTTGATTAAATTCTTTAAAAAAAATCATTTATTTAGTATAAGTTCAGTTTTATATTTGTCATTAATTTTTCTTGTTAAAATATTTTAAATATGAATACCTATTTGTTATTTAATAACAACTTTAAGTTAAAAATATATAATATTTTTTTATAAGAAAAAAAACCATGGCAGAATATTCGAGGAATGTCGGTTTTCGACACGTGTTGGACACGGATACGCTACCCTAGTTGAAGTGTTCGTGCTACAAATGTCAGGGCAAAGTCAGAAGATGGCAGGGTATTCTGGTTGACACGAACATCATCTCAAAATTCAGGTCCACTTTCAAGAGATCAGATTGCTGGTTTCATTGGTCTAGTCTACTATATGCAATCGTTTGAGAGATGAGGTCTCTCTGTTCATGCATCAATAAGTTTTAAGTAACTTATCCACATATGTTGGGAAACAAAAAGTTACTTGAAAGGAGCTTTTACTTATTCGCAAGTTTAGTGCTATCAGCTGTATACTAACTTTCCCTAAAGTAGCAATTACTTCATGACTATTCTCGAAGGCATTCTGCAGGTTCTGCCTGTAAAGTAAGCCAACTCACCACCTCAAATGTTAAGTTTCAAGCTTCAAAACCATTGTCCATATAGGTTATTCTACCCAGCATAGATATCCAAATACAATTCTTAAACCCATATGAATTACTAAACTTCCATATATGACACTTGAAATTCATTGTGCTTCACATTTATTACTCACGCAATTGCAGAATATCAAGAATAATCCAACTTGATAACATTCGGAAAAAATGACCATTTCTACAAGCATATGCAACCCCCACTAGCATTTCAGACAAAAATAAGAAAATGTGCTAGATAACTATTAATTCTTACGCTCATCACAATGCAGTAAGTACCAGAATGGCTAAAAACTCACTGCCAATATACTTGCATCTTTCAGATTTCTTTTTGTGGAACTAATGGAATAACTTAAAACTCACAACGTTGAAGAGAAGAACACAATACGCAGGCAAAAATGGATACACTCGTTAACATTTCATTTAATAGGATTTCAAATTTTCATCTGCACACTAGTCTAAGTAATGAATAACTCAATCTACTCTTAACTACATAGGTCATTTTTAGAAGCCTTAGAAAATCCAGTGTTGTGGATTAGGAATCCCTGTTATTCTTCTTGATGTTTTGGGACCCTATAATCCTGCGTGGATTTCTTGGATATTAGCCATTTCTTTCTTCCTCTGTCTACTGCTTGCCTACTAGAGTTTTCTTTCTTTCAATGAAATTTTAGTTTATCAAAAACTGTTTATAAACCACTGTGATGAATATAATGATGATTGTGACCACGAATATAATGTTTCTGATAATATGATATGATATCCTAGCATATTGATTCTATTTTAGACCCCAATATATCAATACCTCTGACCTTCTCTTTCAATTTAACCATGTAATCCTCCGCATTTTATGCACTAGGGGAACTAATCATTTTGCATAATACCTTGCTAGTTCTGGCAAACTGAAGCAGAAAGCTTGAGAAGACAGCTGCAGTACTTGCAAGAAAGCTACAGGTACATTTGTCTCTAAAGTAATAAATAGATGCCTGTATCGAAGTAGCAGATTGAATATAGATGAAGTGAAGGACTGGAGATAGCATTCGAAATATAAACGATAATGTCTATCTCAATGATGAACAGGATCCAGATGGAGGGAAGTAAATGAAGAGGTAGTACCTGGCCCAAAGTAGCGTAGGATAAAGTTTCATTGAGTTGATTGCATGTCAAGCTGAAGGAATAAAGACAATATCAAATGTTTCTTATGTCTTACTTGCCACAAGTTTGATTGCGTATATGCAATGATCCCGTAGCATCACTATATGGCAAAACACCTTGACAAACAGCAGATATTTTTGCTCTAATACCATGTTAGCAACTATGAAGGGAATACAATTCAGATAAAAATAGTGATAATAAGGCTTCTATAATTTTGTTGCTAGAAACCACAATGAGAATGACCCACTTTTGTAGTAGGAATGGCTATAAATGGAAAGTATATACAAATTTAACGATCGAACTATTATAGAGATAATCACAGAGAAAATAGAAATAGTTCCACATCTTTAACACCAGTGGAACCATTGTGGTGTGTCTGAATAAAAAGCAATGTATCATAATAGAATGCTAAAAGTGACCAAAAACAAATAGGAACTTGTAGATCAAAATCCATTCCTAAATAACCATTGAGGAAGCACAAAAGGGTAAATTCACAAAATAGACAATACATTACTTTAAGCACCAAACTGAACTTTGGAGGGAGCATTAAGACAGAGTTGGGCTGAAAACTATGGTGATTGGCTCAGGATCTCACTATCACATATACATGTACAAAGTTGTGATACTGTAGAGGCCAACGGATTTCATCAAGCAGTATGGAACCCCGCACTCATAACTTACTTATAGGACTAGGTTTAAGATCTGAGCTCTTTGTTCTTCTCCAAAGTACTCTGTATCCTTCATTTTAATAAGCTAGGTGTCCATGTAAACAATAAGCCAAGTTGGAAGGATCCAAAAAGTACAAGCAAATGATATTATTTAGATAAACACATGTTAAATAAATAAAGAGAATAGATATGGTGATACTTCTAATTCTCAAAAAAACAACAAAAAAAAAAAATCTCATACAGATAGTTGAGGAAAGGTTCATACAGGACAAGAACATACCATATACTTCTGTCATGATATATGCAGGAAACTTTTGGGAGAAGAACTTTCTGGATTGAGCATCATAGATCTACAAAATCTGGAAAATCAACTAGAAATGAGTTTGAAAAGCATCCGAATGAAAAAGGTTAAGGGGGTTCTGCCTAACATAATTGTTAATTAGAAGTACTGCGACTTCTGATATATTAAGTACGTGAAAATCCACAATAATTGCTATTTCTTGCAGGAGCAAATTTTAACGGATGAAATCAAAGAGTTAAACCAGAAGGTCCTCTTGGAAACACAGTTAGATATAACAATTTTTGTTATCATTCATGTTTAAATTCAGGAATGACTTCATCAAACTTGTTGCAGGGAAATCTCATGCATCAAGAAAACATAGAGCTGTATAAGAAGGTAAGCCTTGTTTCTCAAGAGAATGCAGGCTTGCAGACAAAGGTATTGGCAGACCGACAACATTGACAGATAAAAAGGACTTTTCTTGCGCATTTTGCTACGTATGCAAAACAATTTGCCGGCTGAACTTAATCACAAGTTTTGGTCCAGGTTTATGGCGCAGGAGGTACAAACACAGCAAACAGGGTTCCGCACATAACATGCGGAATTAGTCATGGTTATGATTTGCCTGTACCTGTCAATCTCCAGCTAAGCCAGCCACAGACAGAGAAGAATGATACACCAGCAAATGGGATAAAATTGGGGTAATTCTCTTCTCAAGACATCCATGTCTGATGGGTAGCTATTGCTCTTTAAGAATTTTTTTCTTCTTTCGTCCATATTAACCCCAGTAACATTATAGTTTGGCCATTGCCACAGGCTACAACTGCATTAGATAGCCAGATGGAAGCTGCACATATATTGGTTCTGCTGCACAATTGAAAAGATTAGTCTTCAATCAATAACATTTCACAGTTGAACAAGAAGATGAATGTCAATAAAGCATCAAAACCATCCAATTTTTGTTCGACGTATGGAACAGCTTTAGAATCTTCATATGTACAGCCATGTAAATTAGACCTAATACTGAAAGGAACCAAATGGGGTGTGAACAGTTTGCTCTAGCTAAAATGTCTGTGATTATTAATGATTGTGATACTGGTACTTGAACCGCTTGATTTGAAATATATTTAGAATGAAAATGTCCTTCCTCAGAAAACATAACTTGGAATCCTTGTGTAATTAATAAATATAATTTCCGCTTTGAAAGATGTAGCAATTTGCAGCTAGAAATGGTCTATGAACAAGTCATATCATGTCACCAGAGAACTGGCATATGGACCACCTTAAGGGATGAAAAGGTCTTATATGCAATATAATTCCATTTCTGTATCTAATTTGGATACATTGCAGAATCATAAGTTGTTCCACATAATTAAGATACATAGCATGTTTGATTGTAATTAAAAATGAAAATTACTTTTAAGTTGCTTGTTTAGTCAAATATGATTTTCGAAGTAAACTTCTTGTCTCTGTAGCACACACACTTCAATTAGGGTAGCGTGTTCATGTCCGACATGTCGATACCGACACTTATCGAACACTCTACCGTTATCATTTTTCTTTTTATATTAGAAATATTATATATTGTTAATTCANTTTTATATTAGAAATATTATATATTGTTAATTCAAAGTTATTAGCAAGTAACAAATATGTACTCAATTTTAAAAGATTTCAATAAGAAAAATTAATAACAAGTATAAAACTAAATTTATACTATATAAATGAAGAATTTTTAATAATTTAATCAACGTGTCATCTCTGTACTTTTTTTAAAAAATTGCTTGTCGGCATGTCCGTGTCGGTGCATCATAGCTTCTTGTTAACAAAGCCTAATTTCTACAAAAGTAACTTTTAAGCACAACCAAAATGTTTCAAGAAGATGAATGGTATTTTGGGATTCATGAGAAGGCTGATTGGAATGCATTGCTCTATAATTTTAAGCACAACTGATTGGAAAGCATGCACAACCAATTCAAGAGTAAAAGATTGTTATTACAAAAGCCTTCGTTCTTGTCCCTTGTTCAAATGAGGTAATAAAAAATAGTCAACAAACCAAGATTCAGCATTCCAAGTTCAATAGCTATGTTTAAAAGTTTGGAAATTTTGGATTGTGCATGATAAGGAGAAAAAAATTATTCAATTAAGAATCAGAGGCCTAATACATTTAACATTTCAAGCATCATTAGAAGAGGGAAATTATTAACCAATCCATGGCAATCTATAGAAAATTAATTTTTGATTTCGTAGATATTCAATTCCTTACCAGCTCCAATCATAGGAAATCTCACAATACAGAATAACATTTTTTAGTTTAAACATAAAAATAAGTAATATATCCCTTCAGCAGCACCGCTGACCATTTAAATTTTTCCAATTTTGACTCCTCACTAGGTTCCATTAGTCCAAACCACCCTCTTCAATTCACAAATTTCTAATCCAGGCCATTGAGGCCATAATAATAGAATGTATCATTCAAAATCTCAAATACAATCAATAAACTGTCGTGCTTGTTGATGAGTGTTCTACACTCATTATATTTATGTCACTTAATTCGTTATTTTGTTATCCTTGAGCGAGTTTTAAAACGTTTGAATGTGTGTTTTGATATTGTGATATAAGTTGATGAAATTGAAAGAAATAAGTAAGAGTTGGCAAAATTGGAGAAAATTGCTAAATTGTAAGAGATTCAAAGTTCGGGGACTAAAGTGCAAATACTCAAAAGTTGTGTCGGACCTCAAAATGAAGATTCGAGAATGTTTGGAGTCAATTGGATGAAGAACGAAGTCAAAGGAATCAAATATAGTCAAAGTTTGATCACACATCATTTTCCAACCGAAAAAGTTATGCTCCAGATTTGTAGTCTCATATTGAGACTCATTTTTGACATAGCAAACGTTTGAATTGCAAAATGATATCTGAAGCAAAGTTGTAGCCCTTTAATTTATCTTTCCAAAACATCTTGAATTACCTCAATCGGATATTGGGAGAAACAGTTATGATAAAAATACTGAAAGACGCGCAGTTCAGTTTTCCCACCCAAAGATGGGCGTCGCAGCGCCGGGTTGCGGGCGCTGCATTACCACATTACTAAAAAAAAAAAAGAATTATGGGCGCCAAGACACCGCTGTGCAAGAAATAGGTTTTTGAATTTTTTAAACTCTTTTCTTGGCCCAATACAACTCCAACCCATCCAAAATTTCATGATAATATAAATACAACCCTAAAGACCACTTTTGAGGGGGAATTCAACACACAGTTAAAGGAGGCAAAGTGGGCATAATTCAAGAAATCAAAGGGAAGCAAGAACAACATCAATGAAGAAGATTGAATATCTATCTAAAAACTAGTTTTTTCTATTCTCTTCTTTATGTTGTTTATTTTGAATTGTATAGTTTTCATGTTCTTATCATGAACTAAACTATTCTTCTAGGATTTGATTGTAACCAAAACTTGAGAGTAATTTGAATTTATTTTAGTTATTTCTATGAAATTTTCCACACTGTTTATTTGAGTTATGATTTTAATACTTTCAATTAATTGGTCATTAATTGAATGAGTAGATACTAGTCAATTCTAGTACTCGAGAGAGGAGAATTTAGGCACGATCATAAGATTAACACAATATGATTTTATAGGTTTCGAGAGAGAGTATAGGATCT